TGTAGGGTCTCTCATTCCAAATACTTTTTACTAAAGCACAATGTACATATATCAGAGTGCACATATGGTAAGTGGACACATTTTCATAAACCACACACATGTAACCAGCACTCAACTCCAGAAACAACATGACTGATACTTCAGAAGCCCCCTTTGTGCCCTCCCCCCCCACACTTGCCAGGTCTTTTTTTCTTTTTCAATTGAATATCAGCTGGCAATATATCAAATTGGTAAAGCCAATACTCCATTTTGGAGCAGCCAATAAGGACCTCACAGGTGCCACTTAATTTGTATTGCTGTCTCTCTGTTCTCTGTGCTTCAACTCTCCCATATTCAATGCTCTAATATCTGGTAACCTTAACCTTTACATGAGTGTCAACTCTACCATTTGTCTAGTAGTTTTGGTAACTGAGTAGGTAGCAGAAGAGGGCTGCCCTGGGTAAGGGTCTGACCAGGTATGTCGTACCCTATCCCTGCTCACACACATGGTGGAAGGTGGTAAGGAGGGCCTGCCTAAGTAGTTGGGAACAAGAGTCAGGTGTCCTAAACTCTTGAATCCCAAACTTGGTGGCATATTGAAATCTGTGGGGAACCGGAACTGTAATGATGCCTGGGATCCACCTCCAGAGATTCTGATTGAATTGGCCTGAGGTATGGCATGAAACATAAGATTTTTTTAAATACCCAAGGGATTCCACTGTGCAGTCAAGGCGAGAACCATTGCTTTCAATTCAGATTCTCCTTGGCTTTTGTGGGTGTTCTGCTCAGTGTCAACATTAGCTGAGGATTAAATGCCATGTCTCATTGACTCCATAATATTTGTGTAACTCATGCCAACTTTTTCTTGGCTTTCCTTAGAGGGCCTTTGCAACACTGTTCTGTCAACATCCCAGTCTCTCCTTAGATTAAGTTGACAATCTCTAAGATGATTGTGGATAGAGTGGGCCATTTAGCTTGAGTGGGAATTAAGATGATTTCAAACAATATCGAGTTGTAAAAACTAGTTCTTAAGCATATTTGTTGTGCTTTTCTATCTCTCTTGCAGTCTTTGTATCTTGACAAAATAGTGTGCTTACTGGAAGCAATGATAGTTTCAGATGTATAAATTACATGAGAGATTTGCAAAGCTATCATGTGTGACCCATTAAATTGTTCCCTGGCTGTTTCCTGCAGAGGATACAAGCCTTTGCTAGAGCAGGGGTGGGGGTGGTCTCTCAAACTGGGGCCCAGACAGCAGAGTTGAAAGATGATTAAAGGTTTCTTTTACAAGTTACCTTCAAGAAGGAGAAGGAAATGTCTGATTTTGAGGACAAATAAATGGGTTGAACAGAAATCAGACACTTAAATTAGAAAAGGAAGAGAAAGGAGTTTGAGCAGAAGAAAGAAGAGAGAAAAGTCTGGGATAAACTGGCATTTCCAGGGTATCCATGGTGTGAAGCCATTGCCCAGTAAAGAGAATGACCAGCTAGCTTACCTGGTAGGGCTGTTGGCAAGTATAAGCAGAGCCTCCTAGGCACTGAGGCACAGGAAACACAGGCAAGTGTCTTCTGTGTTAGACAGGAAAACAAACAATGAAGGCAGAGGCACAGATAAGACAACACCTCCTGACTCCCTGGAAAGTGTCAGGCTCCCCTCAGTGACACTATTCAAAACATTCACATGAGAAGGCTGATGCATGGGCTGGAATTCTCAGGAACCCCATCTTTTCCTTAGGAGTGTTGGTGGATATTGGCTAGGAGGTCTGCTCCAACAGAGCTTGGAGTTGATGATACATTTTCCCACGTGATTTCAAAGCAGTGGTGGGTTCTGTCTTATATTTATACAACCAACAGAAAGAACCTATTTTAGAGAAAACAGGCAAAGAAGGGAGCCGAGGGTAGCAATTTTGTAGCCTGCTCTGTAATTTAGTCTGATATTCTCTGCTGAAGGAGAAAATAGTCCCTGTGTTAACACACAGTGGAGGATGAGAAAAGGAAGGATCAAGCAACGTGATCCCTATTCCCAGAATTCTCAATTATTTGGTAGGGAGGAAAAACTTTTTATCATCATAGAAAGATACTGGTTATTTGTGGAAGAGACAGATGCACAGATTCAGATAAAAATAGATGGATGGATGGATGGATGGATAAGTAGAATGGTGAGCAGTACAATAATAGGATGACAGGAAATAAGAGTATTGGCTAAGAGCATGGGCTTTGAAGCCAGAGTGTGCTTGGGATTGAGTAGCCACTGCCACTGACTAGTAAGTAAGTAACTTTGGGAAGGTTATGCAACCTTTCTATGCCTTGGTTCCCTCATCTGTAAAATGGGTTAAAATAATACATACCTGGCACAAAGTAAGACAAGAAAAGCTGGCTTTTTTTGTTACAGTATTATCATTAGTATAACTTCCCAGGATATTACACGGGTATAGATGAGAACTCTCTATTCCAACCTGACTTTATAAAACATATCATTCCCCAGGCCAGGGGAAGTGGCTTGGCCTGAGTTTTAACTGATCAATAAGAATTAATATGAGAGGAGAGAGCCAGTATTTCCTTTCTAGGTAGAGGAGAGGAGTCTGTAAGTGAGATGTGTGGAAGAGAAGTTTTTAAGTGATTTGCATTTTTTGACTCACAATTGTTTCCATGTTTGAAAAATTTGCAGCATATTTGAAGCATATATGGAAGCCACAATTTTTTCAGTATACCAAAAATAACCTCAGTAAGGAGGTTCAAAAACATCTTATGATGTCTGCAAGTCTCCCCAAGGGTCTAGAGACCACAGTGTGTAAATTTTATTAGTCTGTGTTCTGTTGCTATTATCAATATACCTGAGACTGGGTATTTTTTTAATAAGGAGATTTGTTTAGTTCATAAGTTTTGAAGGTGTGAGAGCCTCTGCTCAGTTCTAGTTATGGAGCTCCTGACTATATCACAATGTGGTGGATAGCATCATGGTGGGAGAGAATGTGAGAGGGAGAGATCACAAAGTGAGACAGGAAGGCTGATAGAGATTCAGTGGCCAGGCTAGTCTTTTACAACAATCTGTTTTCCCCAGAACTACCTTATTCCATGACAGCAGCATTAATCCCTTCCAAGGGTAGTATTCTCAAGGAACTAAGTACCTTCAGCAGGCACCGCCTCTTAAAGTTTCCACCTTCTCAACACCACCACTTTGGGAACCAAGTTTCTAACACAAGAATATTTGAGGGGCAAATTGTAGCAAAAATCATTGCTGATATCTGCTGTATCTTGGGCCCAGGCCTTGTTTCCCTTCAGCAATGTTATATAGATGGAGATTCACTAAAGGTTTTCAAAAAGGGGAACCATGATAGAAATAATTATTCTGCACCTATTTCAATTTCTTTTCAGTGTGCCATTATGGATAGAAGTCTAGAGGAACAGAAAAACTAATACAGACTCCCTTGCAGCTGTGTAATTTAAGTTCCACTAATCAGATGCAGTCATTGAAGACATTCAGAATCCATTTACTTAAGTGGTGAAAGAGGAATGGTGGGATGATTCTGTTTTGCAGATGTAGGTTACAGTAGGTCTGGGGTGACTCTGAAGTCAGTGGTTCCAGTGGTAGCTTTCTGATCCCCAGATTATGTCAGAGGCAGCAATACTGGAGCCAACTGCTGAGAGGACACCTTCCTGATTTGCCCACATAACTCTTTCCTGAGGGTGATGGCTTGCTGTCAGGAGAACCTAGTTAGTACATGTCTGGTGTCTGCTGTATTCTAGACCCAAGTCCTACTGGCTTGCCTTCAACAGTGCAATGCAGTGCAGGGGCCAGCCCCTCTTTCCTTGTCACCTCCACCCCCGCCCCACCTGTAGCCCTCCATTGCAGTCATCTGAACCACTAAACTAAATCACACAGCTGGAGTCTTAGTTGTTTTTGTTCCAGAAGGCATCTGGTTTTCTTATACCCCTTCCCCACCCTCTCCCCACTGTGTAAATCTGACCATTCCTCTGCCTTTAAGCTTTATGTTTGTTTAGCTTGAAGGCAATTTACCTCCCCAGACACCTTGCCACAAAGTGGTGCCACTTTCAGGGGGTGGAGCAGTGTAATTTTCTGGTGGGGATGCTGCTACAGCTGGACAAATTATCTAGGTAAACTAACTGAAATGGAGAAGTTATGAAGGAAGCAGATGAAAACAAGAGTTAGGAGATGTTGACTGAAGTAGAAAGAATAATTCTTCAGGATCCTGAACCAAACACTTATAGACAAGAGAGATACAGAGTAGACTGCAGCACTGGCCTGGGGTGGAATAGCCTTTAGACCTGGGCAGAGAGTTTGAAGCATATATGGAAGCCATAATTTTTTTCAGCATACCAAAAATTATCTCAGTAAGGGGTGGGGGACAGTTTCTTCCAGTCCTAGACAGATTTTCCATGTGCAGTGTATGGACTGTGTCTTGCATATGGATACCTGGCAGAGGGAACCCAGCAGGAGCTAAAATCCAGCCTTTGCCCCACTTGCCAAGCTATGAATCCCAGCACAGCACTACATACTCCTGGAGGAAGGAGCACTTTTAAAAGTCCTCACTAAGGACAAGCAGGGACAGGCTTAGTTTCAGGTGATTGGATAGAGAGGAAAGACCCAAAAGCAGCCGGTTTCAAAGCTTCCTGACACCCAGAAGGGTGTGCCTTCCCCCACCCTTCAAACTACCAAGGGCACAGATGTGTGCAGAGCTGTTGGCCCAGCCCTCCCCAGCTCTGCATGAGACAGCAGTTTGACCTTTTATTACAAAACTGCACAGAATGAGCAAGATGGCATTGGCTCTGTTATTGCTTCCTCTGCCAAGAGTTTTCATGCCATAAACTGCACGTAACAAACTATGCAATTATTCCTTGGACTTTGAAAATTGCTTAGGAAAGAATACTTCATCTAAGAGAGGATGTGGGAAGATGAGGGGTGGAGAGAAAAACAGGAGGAGACAAAGTCCTCTGGGAACACAAACCGCCAGTTTCTCTTCTGGAGTGACTAACTGCATTTGTCTTTTGTTCTTTATCCAGGGAACATGTCCAACAAGTATAAGACTGGATCAGGTGGTTCATAGAAATGCTTTGAAGCCACCAGGCCTTTCTGCTGTAATAGGAGCCCGGGCTGTGTTTTCTACTGTCCTCAACCACATCCATGAAGAACAAATAACAAGTCAGACCCAATGAAGTCCTTTGGACACTGAGGCTCCCACCCTGCTGTTAACCTAGGTACAACTTCCAGGAAGGGAGTGTACCAAAGAAGCCTGTATTGGCAGCATGGGCACAGCCTCTGTATCAGGGTAAGAACAATGAACATACACGAAAGAGAAGATGGTTGGTAGAAAATCAGCTTTAAAGAATTTTGAACATAAATGTAAATCATCAAAACTACCCAAGAAGAAAAAGACTAAAGCAAATGTATGAAATATGATATGTCAAGAGCTTTGCATTGTTTTGAACAACTAACAATAAAAAGAAAAAGAAAAAGACTAAAGCAAACTAAAACCCATACCTAGGCCTGTTCCTGCCATCTGTAGCAGATGCTTTGGTGCCCCACTCACAGCCCTCAGCAGGTACCATTTTCGTGTGTACTTACCCACCCTCCAACAGTCAGCAACTACTACTCTTTGCCTTGAGACTGTCTGTGGACACCAGAGTAGCCCTCAAGCAGTGCACTTGCTTCTCACATGGGGCTCTATCTTGTCACCTGGAGTTTCCCAACACCATTAAGCTGCGCTTGACCAGGATGCTAACATGTCTGACAACACATCCTTAAGTGGCTTCCTTCTATTATCTTCTTTGTCTCACTTTTCCACTGTTCCTATGATGTTTCCTGGAATCTCCCAAATAAACTATTTGTACTGGAATCCTTACATCAGCTCTTATTTTTTGTGTAACCCAAACCATCTCATCCTTCAACATGTATCCATTTTATTAAAATATTCTCTCTTAATAAATAAATGAAAATAAATAAATAAATAATATTCTCTCTTCCCTTGTTGAACAGGTTTAGTTCTCCTTGAAATCATTCATTTTGAAAGCCAATGCAAAGTCGGGGTGGCTTCTTGTCATCCAAACATGTTTGCTACAAGGCATATTATCCAAGTTATAAAAATCCTTTTGTGTTTGTAAAGTACTTTTCCAATTCTTTGATAGATTGGAATTTATTGTATTAGGTATTTGATCTGGTCTCTGAATCAAAACCGGGTCTTAGCAGGTTTGGCAGGCTTTCACTTGGTAAATGTAATTTTTGATGAGTTTTATCAGTTGGGTCACATTTTAAATAGATTAGAGGAATTTAGAATTTGAACTCTCCTGTGAATCATTTTGTAAAACAAGCCAACATTTATGAATTTTCACATACTTTGTTTTCTTAAAGTGAAGTATACCCACCTTGATATTTCCTTGTTAAATCTCACATTTGAATAAAATGTCACCTGTAACTTCTTCCCTTTTTAAATGCTATTTTTACTAGTGCCAGTTAGCCTTTACCAAGGATCTATACAAAACTATCTGAAGTAAAATATTGATGGTTATACAGCCTATGGGAAATTACTTTTGTTTCCAAACATCACCTCAGGACTACAGCAATATTTCTTTTTTGTGTCATTAATTTGTTGAGGGAGGCTGGATAGATCACTCTGACTCTGCATTCTTCAGTTTTTCTCCAGCATATTGAACAATAAATTAATATTTGAAGTTATATGAAGCAAAGAAAGAATGGACTATATTCCTTTCTTAGAAATAAAGTATTAGAACTTATTTCAATATAAAAGCTATGTAGCCTGGCATAATGGTACATGCCTGTAATCCCAGCAGCTTGGGAGGCTGAGACAGGAGGATTACAAGGTAAAGGCTAGCCTCAGCAACTTAGTGAGCAATTTAGTAACACCCTGTGTCAAAATTAAAAATAAAAAAAGCTAGGACTGTGGCTTAGTGGTTGAGCATCCCTGGGTTAAATCCCCAGTACATAAAAAAAGCAATGTATACACAGATAAAAGTAGAAGAATTCAGAAAAGTAAAAGAGAAAAAAGCACCTATATATCTACTGCAAGAGAAACTTAGCATTACATTTTAGTTTATATTATTCCATTCTTCTTTTTTAAAATTGTGTTGTCTTTCTTTCTTTCTTTCTTTGTCAATTGATCTTTATTTAATTTATTTATTTATATGTAGTGCTGAGATCGAACCCAGGGCCTTACACGTGCTAGGCGAGTGCTCTACCACTGAGCCACAACCCCAGCCCTCCCATTCTTCTTAATATGTACAGCTTATTTGTGTTTTCATTATCATGACATAAGTACATTCTATATTATTATATTTTGTTGGATGTCATTATCTTAATAGCAACATGAAACACGAATGAGTAGATACACCATACTTTACCTATCTTTGTTCCTTATGTTCAGACAATTCCTCCTTTTTTTGCTGTTATAAATAATGCCTAGCAAATTTAGCTCATGTCATATTGTGTTTCCCCATTATTATTTCCCAATAATTTTTCATTCTCATTCATGATATATAGAACCCATGTTTCATAGGAAATGGGTTCCTAACCCTCTTTGCATCTTGAGTGCTGCTCTGTGTTGGGCATCTTGAGGAAGCTGAAGATGAATAAATATGGTGCCTATCTGTAAAGAGTTTGGAATCTGGAAGGGGAATGCAAAATTGTAATATACAAGCAATAGTAGCCTACTAGCAGAGCTCTACATGGGATGTTATGAAAGAGAAGTAAATTTCTAACTCTAGCTAGAAAGAAGTTTGGGAAACACAAGAAAGAATTTTTCAGACATAAAACACAGATAAAGGAAATAAGAAATCAGGGTAATGTGACAGTACTAGGAGAAAAAACACAAGAGAAGATAGCAAGGATAAGGAAATTCTCTCTGGAGAGATGACATTTGAACTGTGATCTGAATGACAAGAAGTTTTCAGCCATTCAAAGAGCTAGTGGAAGAGCATTCAAAGGAGAGGATCACCAAGCACCAAGGAAACATATGGGATCTTGGCTTATTCAAGGAAGAGTATGGTGGAAATGACATAAGTGAAATGGAGAAGAGTAGACTTGACATCAGGGAATGGAGGAAGAAAATAAAGGGGGGGGGGTCAAATGAAAGGACCAAAAGCAAGATTGAGAGTTCAGGTGATGTTAAGGACCATGAAGCATGAGTGGCATCAATATATAAAGTTATATGATTTTTAAGACTGCTTAGTAGCATTGTTGTAGATAAGGAGGATGGTTGGATTGATATATGGTTGGAGGTTGTGGAAGAAGTGTAGCAAAAATACAATAAAGCAAATGAATAGATAATACTGGGGGTGGAGAGTTTATACTCTAAGCTCTAAGCTGGATAAGAAAAGAGTAGAAGTTGAGATGTGGGAAGAAGTAGGTGTGACAAATAGAAAATGGGATTGGAAGTTTGGAGGTCTTAGAGGATTTGCAAAGCAGATGTAATAGAAACAAGGTAGAAGGAAATCTATAAGAATGAAGGGTTGGACTCTGAGAGCAGAACACTGGGGTTTAGGAAAGCAGAGTTTCAGTAGCTTTGGGTGATGTTCAGGTCCATTATTTAAGTGAAATGAAGGTGATAGTTAAAGGGAAATGAGGGATGGGTGGTATAAGAAAAGGTATTAGGACTTCATCAAATTAAAATCTTTTATGCTTCAAAGGCCATCATCAAGAAAGGGAGAATACAATTCACAGAATTAGAAAAAATATTTGCAAAATATTTATCTGATAAGGAACTTTTATCCAGAATATATAAAGAACAGTTACAGCTCAATAATAAGAATATAAATAACCTGGGCTAGGGTTGTGGCTCAGTAGTAGAGCACTTGCCTAGCCTGAGTGAGGCACTGGGTTCAATTCTCAGCACCACATATAAATAAATAAAGGTCCATCAACATCTAAAAAGTATTTTTAAAAAGAATATAAATAACCTAATTATAATTGGCAAAGAATCTGAACAGACATTTCTTAAAAGAAGATAAACAAATAGCCAGTGAGCCCATGTAAAGATGCCCAGCAGCACTGGCTATCAAAGAAATGCAAATCAAAACAACAATGAGGCCAGGCATGGTGGTGCAAGCCTGTAATCCCAGCAATTGAAGAGACTGAGACAGGAGGCTGAGACAGGAAGATTGCAAGTTTGAGGCCAGCCTCAGCATCTTGCTTTGTAAGGCCCTAAGCAACTTAGTGAGACCCTGTCTCAAAATAAAAAAAAATGAAAAATAAAAAGGTTTGGGGATGTAGCTCAATGGTAAAGCACCCCTGGGTTTAATCCCCAGTACCAAAAACCAAACAAACAACAACAATGAGATACTACCTCACATCCAGTAGAATGGCTGTAATCAAAAGACAAATAAGTACTAACCAGAATATGGATAAATCGGAACCCTCTTGCACTCTGGGAAGAATGTATAGTGGTGTTGCTGCTTTGGAAAATAGTTTGGCAGTTCTTCAAAAATATTAAACAGAGAGGTACTAATATGATTCAGGAATTTCACCCCTGTGTACAATGCTCAAGAGAAATGAAAGCATATGTCCACACCAAAACTTGTATACAGATGTCCACAGCAGCTTTACTCAATACCCCATAGTGGAAATACCCCAAATGTTAATCAGCTGATGAATGGATAAGCAAAGTATGATATATCCGTTTAATGCTACCACACAGATGACTCTTGAAAACATGCTATGTGAATGACAAGTCACAAAAGACTACATATTATAAGATATATGATTCTGCTTATATGAAATGTCCAGAATAGGCAAATCTATAGAGACAGAAGTTAGATTAGTGGTTGCTGAAAGTAAATTAGGGATAGAGTGTAGCCAGTGTTTTTTTTCCCAATGAAATAGAATACTTCTGAGCATATTACACATAGTAAGAATAAAATACATATATGTGTATTATGTCTTGATTTTACTGTTGGTTTTTCTAAAAAATTAAGAGAAACTCCTGTACTGTACCCTCTGGTTCAAACATTTATGACTGTAATTTTTTTCTGAAGCATAGATCATTCTATTGGATTGAGAATCAAAGCCAGGCAGGGTGGTATATGCCCATAATCCAGCAACTAGAGAGGCTGAGGCAGGAGGATAACAAATTCAAGGCCAACCTCAGCAACTTAGCAAGGCCCTAAGAAACTTAGCAAAAAATAAAAACGGGCTGGGTATGTAGCTCACTGGTTAAATACCCCTGGGTTCAATCCCTAGTACCAAAAAAAAAAAAAAAATCACAGATTATAAATATAAGACTTTTGATAATTTATAATAGTAAATAGTATAGTATTTTATAAAGTATATTTTAATTGACAAATAATAATTGTATATACTTATAGAGTACATTATGATGTTTTCATCTATGTACAGTATACATTATAGAAACATACAAACTAGTTAACATACCCATCACCTCATAGCTTTTTAAAAAAGTCACTGAAGTGAAAATTTCTCAAGTATAAATTAAACATTAATTGAATTTCTTAAGTATAAATACATGTTAATTTAAATTCTTAACAAATGAACAATGGTTGCAGTCTACATTAAAATGTTTTTTAGACTCCAGAATATTTCAACAACTATGATTATTTCTAATAATTTATGGACAAAAACACTAGGAAGTTCATCTTTAGTTATATGGCAAAATGCATGTCTAAATTCTTCTACTATAAATTAATTCAAAACAGTTCAATTATAAGATTTCTTCTGGGATGTGTAGCACATCAAATGCACTTAATAATTCTCTTATTTGGCAAGCACGTGGTGGGGAAGCATGGAGAATCTGCAGCCAGTCAGGTCTGCCAGAAATCCTGGCTCTATTGCCTACTAGCTAGCTGTTTGACATTTGGCATATTAGTATATTGGGACCACAGATTCTTGGTCTATAAAATGAAAAATATTTTC